GGACGGGCCATGGACTTCTCTCAGCGAGGACGGGCCACAGACTCCTCTCAGCGGGGACGACCAAGGAGACCTCACAGCGCGCTCTCGGTGATGACCTTATCGTTCGAGTGTGCGCTGTTCGGGCGATAGGTCCGCGAGCTGGTAGCGAGACCCGTCTGGCGTCCATCCCACGCCACCCGCACACACGAAGGCCGCATTGGAAGGATCCCACTCCTCGGGCTCTCCAGGGGATACCCGCCATTCCAACTGGCGGAAACGTAATGGACGTTTTTCAGCGCTGAAATACGCGCCCCAGGCCGGCACGGATAACGGGCGCGCCCAGGTGCAGCTGTCGTTTTCTATTCGGGCCGCGCATTGCTACAAATAGCGTTGACATAACTCAGCAGAAACTGCCTTTGAGCCGTTCTTCTACTTGTAGTGTCGTAAAACCTAAGACGTTGTCAGTACAGTGGTACGACCAACAGCGATCCGTCCCGGAAGGCCGCCGAGAGGGTCTCAGTTCCGAATCCCTGCCACCATCACGCACATGCGCAGCAGGCGGGGCTCAGGCGGGGCAGGCTGAGCGCACGCCGCGCGCAGGCTGAGCAGGCGGTGTTTCAGAGTGAGCAGGAGTGCCTACGACCGAGCACAAGAGGCACTCTGGCGGGAAGCAGGTGGTGCGAGAGCGCGGCGCTGAGCGGGGCGAGCCGCGCGGGACGGCGCTCGCGCTGCCAGACGGCGCGGCTGATCGGTGCCGGCGCGGCCTTCGACCCGGCACGCGGCGTGGGGAAGCGGACAGGCCGGCGGCGCGAGGGCAGGCTGCCAGCACGCGCGGCCCGCACACAACAGCCGCCCGCCGTGGGCGTTCCGCTGTCATTCGTCAGCCTGGCAGCTGGTAAATAGGCCCGGCCGCTGCAGACGGCCCGGCCGGCGGAGGAGGCGCCCACCGGCGGCTCTGCAGCGCGGACGGCCGGGAGCGGAGGGCGGGAGTCGACCAGAGCAGGTCAGCGCAGACGGCCGGGGTAGCGGAGGGCGGGAGTCGACCGAGCAGGTCAGCGCAGACGGTCGGGGAAGGGAGGGTGGGAGCCGACCGAGCGGGCCAGCGCAGACGCCGGGCAGCGGAGGGCGGGAGGCAGACCGAGCGGGTCAGCGCAGACGGGCCGGGGAGCGGAGGGCGGGGAGCCGACCGAGCGGGTCAAGCGCAGACGGCCGGGGAGCGGAGGGCGGGAGCCGACCGAGCGGAGTCAGCGCAGACGCGGCCGGGGGAGCGGAGGACGGGAGCCGACTGTGCTGTTTCACAGCGCAGGAGGCGCCACCCCCGCCGCCGGCCAGCTGAGCCCGGGGTCGGCTGGCCGGCGGCGTGCCAGGGTTGCCACTCACCGAGGCGAAGGACAGGTACGGGCGGACGGAGCATCTGCCCGGCGGTGGGACAGAGCACCCTTGGCGCCCCGTCCTGGGTTGGCCCCGGGTAATGCACCGGCCGGCCGGGGGGGCGGACAAAGGGCGACAGAGACAGATGGAGGAAATTCCAGGCGGGCAGCGGAGCGATGGTCAGTGGGGAAATGAAGCGCGATGTCCGCACCACACGCCATCCCAGACAATGCCGCCGGGGATGCCAGATGAGTCTCGACACATCCGGCCACATCTGCAGCACGCGTCAGCATCCAGACAGCAGACAACTTTTCGCTGAGTGCAGCGCTCTCCTCGTCAGCGACAGGAATAGGTCCCATCAGCGCACCCAATCACGACTTTATCAAATCATCGATTCATCTATTCATTCACCATCCGCGCCGCGAAGGCACCAGCCGTAAATCCCGCATCCGCTGGTGGCATTTCCTGGCCGGACCTGACTCAACAGTCCCACTGTCACCACTTGGCGTCCAGCTCGAGACGATCCGCCGTCAAGAGCCGTTCCCGACGCGCCGCGACCGCACCGTTGCTCCGCGTAACTGGCCCCCTGGCGTCAGCGCCGCCTGGGGTCCCATCAGCGGCCGGTACTGATCTCCGGCCGGTCTCATCGACCGGATCTCGGCCCGGCCGCCGCCCGCGGCACACCTCAGCGGCTCGGCCGCTGCCCACTGCACACCTCAGCGTGGTCCGGGTCCGACCCGGACGCCGCCGCACCCCGCCCTGCTGCGCCGGTCCGTCAGGTCGCGCCACCTGCCAGCGCCGCCCGCCGGAATGTGCCGCTCGAGGGACGCCTGTGCGCGATGCGCCGAGGAGCGGAATAGATGCATGTGCGCCAAAGACGGACACGGCACGGGGAACAACGCGATGCTTGGCAATGAACGTTTTTCTAAGTGGTTTTCATGAGCATTCCTGTCCCCGCTCCGCACAGGAGGCATTAGCCAATACTAATTGCAGCTGGACACAACCAGTCATCCTCTTGGCGCAGTTCGTGCCCGCCAGCTCTTACGCTGTCAGGAGCAACGAGCACATTGCGAGAACGAAGCACGAGACCAACCGGAAGGCCGAGACGAGACAACTTTAGAAAGTCGACCCCAACGACGTCAATGGATCCCCAGCGGATCATCGTCGCGACCACGGCGAGGGATTCATCCTGGCGACACAAGTGAATAGGATTACACAAGACAACTGTTGAAGTTGTACACTTGCAACCAAAGCACCTCCCATCCGGCAGCTGTTACCAGAGAGGCCGGCACATCCCAGGAAGTCAAATCACAGATCTTATGTACAAGCGCGAGAGGCTAGCTACTCTACAGACCTTTAGATAACGTAAAGCACTGAAGTACGGAGGCTATGCTGTATGAATGTCGGATCCACCACAGTCATCACACATCTATACTAGACCACGCTGTGATGCCGTGTTGACATTGTCGAGAATGACCACACCTGCTGCGCGTCATACAAGCCCTGACGAAAGCGCTATCTCCTTATGTCAGCACTGCGAACGGTCCACTGTGAGTGGCAAGATTGCTGAGTGTCTTGCAATACGGCTGTCCTGATTTCAGTGGTCTGCCTGACTGCATGCTCGAGGCACGAGCAGTCGCCTGCACGGTCCGCATTGGGAACGTAGCATATATATATATATATATATATATATATTATATATATATATAATATATATATATATATATATTATTATACGCCGATTGCGCAGCTCGCTGTCACAAACCTCAACTCTCAGAGAGCAGCTCGTGACAATATAGGACACCCTCGCTACATTACCAAGTAAACCGCATAAAAGGTTTGAAAAAACCGCATGCATTCATATGCAAAGTGGAAAGCTTTGCGGTTGGGTGATTTGTTTCTGGATTCCTTCCACGCAGTGTCGCGCAACTAATAGGCATGCTCTAAAATGCTGGGATGCCGCTGCAACACTGCATTCCCAAAATTAAGGGAACTGTTCCATTCCAACAAATCTGAGCCAACAGTGCCCACTTCTAACTAATACATTTGGACTATTCAAAAACAATGAAACCATATATTTCCGTGCCATGCCAATGTCACTTACTGCGCGCAACGTGCACAACCGGGGGCATAGCAAGCGCGTCCCGTGATGTGGTCCGTTGGTTTCCACGAATGAAGGTGCCACCACTTTCAAATCAGTCATTATTATAATTCCATCAATAATTGCTGAAAAATGTTGGCTCTGGTATTCAAAGCGAATCTCTGAACATTTCGAGTACCATCAAAGGTTCGAACCAAGAACGAATAACAAGCTGCATGGAAAGCATACTCAAGGCACAGATAAAGCATGAAGCATGAACGAGCTTTCACACGTCTCTGCCTCTACGTTCACGTAACGTGTTCACGTCTAATCAGCCCGGTCAAAAATGCTCTTGCGTGATGTAGGGACAAGCGTGGGAACGTGTGCCAGTGAGGCAACAAATCTTTACCGTCCCCGCCCTAAATCATTCCATCCGGCGAAGTTCGTGACCTTATA